TCCCCTGGGGGGGTAAAGGGGGGGTCACGATGCTAAAAGTCACGGTTTCCGACCGAATTGCGGATAGATCGCATCAGAATTGAAAAGCACGGAAAATTTCATGTGAAATTGACCCCTAAAAATCCAAAATCGGACCATCCAAGGCCCAAAAAGGATCCCCTAAAGAGGGGACAGTACCTCCCTCCATAATTTCTCTTTGGTCTCAAAATTGACGTAAGTTCTCCAGAAAAAGACGGTTTCACAGGTAATCGACCCCGAGAAATCCAAATTTCATGGTCCCGAAGCTCCTCTAGCCCCCCTTGGGAGGTAAACGGGGGGGCCCAATTTTAAAAATCGGGGCTCCTTTCCGAATCGCAAATTGATTGCATCCAAATTGAGGAGCAGAACACATGTACATCTTAAGTGACTCCTAAGAGTTCTAATGGACCCCCTGAACGGCAGAAAGTAACTCCCTGAGGAGGGGGGCCTCGCCCCCGCCAAAAATTTCTCAGGATTCCTCTTTGGTCGCAAAATTGACGTCGATTCTCCAGAAAAAGACGGTTTCCTATGTAATCGACCCCGAGGACTCTAAATTTCATGTTCCCTGAGCTCCTCTGGGTCGATTACATAGGAAACCGTCTTTTTCTGGAGAATCGACGTCAATTTTGCGACCAAAGAGGAATCCTGAGAAATTTTTGGCGGGGGCGAGGCCCCCCTCCTCAGGGAGTTACTTTCTGCCGTTCAGGGGGTCCATTAGAACTCTTAGGAGTCACTTAAGATGTACATGTGTTCTGCTCCTCAATTTGGATGCAATCAATTTGCGATTCGGAAAGGAGCCCCGATTTTTAAAATTGGGCCCCCCCGTTTACCTCCCAAGGGGGGCTAGAGGAGCTTCGGGACCATGAAATTTGGATTTCTCGGGGTCGATTACCTGTGAAACCGTCTTTTTCTGGAGAACTTACGTCAATTTTGAGACCAAAGAGAAATTATGGAGGGAGGTACTGTCCCCTCTTTAGGGGATCCTTTTTGGGCCTTGGATGGTCCGATTTTGGATTTTTAGGGGTCAATTTCACATGAAATTTTCCGTGCTTTTCAATTCTGATGCGATCTATCCGCAATTCGGTCGGAAACCGTGACTTTTAGCATCGTGACCCCCCCTTTACCCCCCCAGGGGAGTTGGGGGGGTTTCGGGACCACGAAATTCGGATTCCTTGGGGTCAATTCCTTATTCAACCCCGCGGTCTCCGACTTCGTACGACCCAAACCAACCGAGAAAAAGGCCTGGTACGGGTGGTCTGAAACACCCTGTATGTGCACTCCGTAAATTCAACGAGTGGGTACATCGACCTGGTAGGTATAACAAGTTTCTGCGATTATTTCCGACAACTTGGTAGATTTTCGGGATGTAAATTGCTTACTTTCAATTAATGAATGAATAAAGTATGGACATGGTTGAACTTTTTTGCATGGAGAGACGTTTAAAATAAAAAAATCAAGACTTATTTAATGCAATTGCATTTATATCGAGTCAATTTCTTTTCAATAATATAACGGGATTTATACTACCGATGATTTGGGTTTTTAGCCCCAAAAACCTTAAATCGACTTTATCTGCTAGGATTTCGACAGAATTTTTCCTTTCTTCGCTTAAATTATTCCGTAGTACTTTTTTTCAAGAATTTGATAAGATTTTGCTAGGGGCAGATAAAAAAACTGAAATTCGTTCGAATAGTTTCTACATTCACAATACACGGTCTCGTCAAAGTGCGTCGTTGAAGTGTTGGATCGTATGAATTCTCTTGTTGTGCTGCTTGCCTTTTTTGAAATCTCTTTAGGTAAATGAAAACTAAAGGGGTTGATATGTGCGAGTTAATGACGCGCCTCATCAACACATTGTGTTGGAGTTCACTGCTTGTTTTTATTTTACTTAATGTTCTAAATTTCCTTTTTTTTACATGTATTTATTCCCTTAGTTTTTTCCACCATATAAAAATGTTTCGCACAAAACAAATATTCTATTATGTACCTATGAAATTATCCAATAATTAGCTAATATTTAATTTTTCCTTACTTAATCCTGAAACTCAAATGCGACCTGTGTGATGTCACCTAGCTTCCAGGTGATGTCACCCACCTCCAAGGTGATGTCACCTACCTTCCAAGTGATGTCACCTACCTTCCAGGCGATGTCACCTACCTTTCAGGTGATATCACCAAGCTTCTAGGTGATGTCACCTATTTTTAAGGTGATGTCACCTATTTTTAAGGTGATATCACCGATTATTTAGGTGATCATTTTTACCAGGGTATCATGTTCCAAACATTTTTTGTTCCTCTTCTTCTCATTAATCTTTCTGAGAACGTTTTCAAAACCAATTATTAATGTTATCTGAAATGGATGGTTTTATTTGGACATTTGGAACACATTTTGAAAACGTTTCTACAGTTATCGAAGATCTAAATCTAAAATGTTTCTGATACCATTCAAAAACCTTTCTCTTTCTTTCTGCATGCTTTTTTTTAAAAAATATTTGTTAATCCTCTCTGAAACTCTTTGTTGAAACTAGGGCGTCACTTTGGAACGTTTTAAATTACATTTTGGGAACATCTCAGAAAATGAAGAGGTCTTAGAGGTATAATGTTTTGATACAATTTGAAATCTCAGCGACTGGAAAGGGCGCATCTGCTAATATATTCTAGGAGCCAGCTGCAGTTTTTGCGCCACTACTCCTACACGCTTCAAATGCAAAAACATAATTCTGACCTCCCTGGTAACGGATTACGCAATATCAGATCTCAAAAATTGTGCTTCTAGCCGCTGCGCCGTGCGAAAAACGGAAAAGCGTGTTTGAAATTGCACGGAGGAACCACTTTACGGTCACCTCAGAGTGTCTGAACACTTGTCTGGCAAGTTTTCCCCGTAAAATCTGTTAGTTTGGACATATGTAGGTAATGCTATTTGTGCCCAAATACGAGGTCTGTCCGGAAAGTATGAAGCCTCTTCTTATATCTTGAAATCCATTAGAAATAGGAAGTTGGGGCTTGGTTTGGGCTTTGTCCATATCTTCTTGAAAGCACACACGCAAGTTCAATGCCGTACGTTTAATCATTTGACATTGAGCACCTAATTAAACAGTGTGTATCAAGTGTGTGCGTCGCATTTTGTTTCCCGCGATAATGTCTGACCTCGAAGATCAGCGAATTTACATCAAGTTTTGTTTCAATGTCGGCAAAACTTCGGCTGAAACTGCGCGAATGATGCTGCAAGCTTCTTGTGATGAGGCAATGAGTGCAAGCAACATCAATGCATCAATTAAATCAGGTCGAGAAACGGTCGCGCGAGTGATCCGCGGTCAGTCCGGCCTGCTTCGACAACTTCTCTCGAAAACATCGAGCGTGTGCGCGTAGCGATCGCAGAGGATACCTAATAGGTTAACAGTTGGGGATTTAAATGAGGACTTGAACGTACCAAAAACCGTTGATGCCGAAATTCTGACCAAAAACTTGGACTGCGAAGGGTGGCCGCGAAATTCGTCCCGCGAACTCTAACTTTGGAGCAATAGTCGAGAAGAGATTTCAAAGTTCCCATGAGTTCCAGCAAGAAGCCGCGAATGATCCTAACTTTTTGGGGAGGATCATTACAGGAGACGAGTCGTGGGTCTACAAGTACGACCCTGAAACCAAAGTTCAGTCGTCAGCCTGGATCACAAAGTGGGAAAAGCGTCCAAAGAAAACGCGGCGCAGTCGAAGCCAAGTCAAAGTCATGTTGACAGTTTTTTTTATCACAAAGATGTTGTGCATCATGATTATACTCCCTAGGTATAGACTATCAACAAAGAAAGGTATAGGGACATTTTGCGCATTTTGAGGGATGCGGTGAGGCGGAAGCGCCCTGAGCTCTAAGCAAGCGGCGCCTGGAAGCTCCAATACAACAACGCTCCTGCCCATTCCTCGTGCCTGGTCCAACAATTTTTGAAGAAACAACGGGATCGCACAGGTGTCGCACCCTTCCTACAGTCCAGACCTGGCACCCTGTGACTTCTGACTGTTCTCCAAACTCAAAAGCGCGTTGAAAGGAACTCGATTTCAGTCGGTCGAAGATATCAAAGCAAACACGACGCTACAACTGATGGCCATCCCGCAGAGGGACTTGTAGGGTAGTGCTTCCAGAGGTTTAAGTACCACTAAAGCAAGTGCATCGTGTCTGGTGGAGAGTACTTAAAGGGAGATTAAAGTTTCAAAACCCCATGTCAGCTAGTTTCCTTCTTTAATAAAAAAGCTTGGTACTCTCTGGGCAAACCTCGTAGACAGATCCAAGTCTAAGCGGCTGATCGGCAGACCTCGAAAGTGGCTAGTCAAAAAAAGCCTCAAAGGGGCTCTTGAAATGTGATTTTAAAATTCCCAACCTCCATATTGCACAATGGTATCATACGGATTCATTTAAAAGTAGTGCCAGCCCGGCACTCCGGCAAACGAATTCAAGCTCATGTGGCTGATCAGCAGATCTCGAAAGTGGCTCTTCCGTGCGCATTCATTGCTCATTTCACTTCAAGAGCCACTTTCGAGATCTGCTGATCAGCCGCTTCAACTTGGATCTATCTGTCTGGGCACAAATAGGTAACATCCATAACGCACGTCAAAACTAATAGGCTTTGCAGGAAAATTTCGCCAAGCAAGTGTTAAGACACTTTGGGGCGATCGTAAAGTTGTTCCCCGTGCGATTTCAGAAACGCTTTTTTCCGTTTTTTCGCAGGACGCAGCGGCCAGAGGTACTTACCTACCACTTTTGAGGTCTGATTTTACCCAGTTCGTTACTAGGGAGTTCAGAACTTTATTTTTGCAAAGTTTCAAGCGTGCCAGAGTAGTGGTGCCAAAAGTGCAGCCGGGTTTTAAACTATAACCAGAAGCGTCCAAGTTGCAAAATTGAACAGCTGCTTGCAGAATGCCTCTGTCTGCATAACTGAATACATTTAATGAACCCTTACAAAATTAAATGAAATGAAATCTCAAATCTGTTACAGCCATTTGTAGTTAGTACACCTGGACGAGAATGGATCTTTGGAGGGGATTTAAGCAGGGTCGAAGGAAAGACGGTCCGAACTTCTTGGGCCATTCTGTTCTCCGATTTGTTAGTCTTCGCGAAAGTAAGCCGTGATAGAGTTCTGTTCATTACCGAGGAGCCTTTGCAACTAAAAACTGTTAAACAAGCCCTGTTCAACATCAGGAAAAAAGGTAAGCTCCCCATATACAAGTTCACGTGTTAAGACAAGGGAGCGTGCTGCATGTTGGGTAAGAACTCACTGGTGGGTGCCAGGTTGGAGTTAAAAATACGGTGAGGTTGCGAAATAGCCTGTTACGCTAGGTAAAGTTACGTTAGGTTGCGTTACGCCCAAAGACATAAAGACGGAGCGCTAAAAGCAAAAAATGAAGCCTCTTTTCAATCACCTCTACTATTGGCTAGAAGATTGGCGGGGAAATCGGGACAAGTTTGAAATTCAAATGTGGGGCGGGAACTAAATAAAATTGCGGAAACAAAGTATTTTAGGTTGATTTTTGCCGAAATTCACTTACACACTCATACTTTTATAACTTTAGGTTAGTTTTGGTCCGTCGTCGAGCGATTAATTTCATTTTGGAGTAACGGTCATCTACGAATGTAATGGCCTGTTTGAACCGGCAGAACCACCATGAGCAGAAGAAAAACTAACTTTATCTGAGATTACTGCCTGTTACCGAGCAAAAGTAGGTGTATTATAGTAGGACGCAGTCCCAACTTTCTTAATATATTCGTTTTAGGCATTTAAAATACGTTTCGAAGAAGAAATGTGGAAAAATCAAGAGTACAAGTTCAAATCAAATTTCCGTTTGCCGCCATGGATTCCCGCGCTCATTTACACACTCACACAAACACCCAGCGCCAAACCAAGCTTCACTTTTCCCTCGTGCTTTTAGATACGACACTCCGTCTTTATGTCTTTGGTTACGCCACGTACGGCATCCCTCGGGAGGTTAGGTTAGGGTAAATTAGGTTAGGTTATCGTAAAAACTGAAAAACAATCCTCAAAAATAAATAAGAAGAGAAATAATTGACCTAACCTAATCTAACCTAACCTAACCTAATTTAACCTGACCTAACCTAACCTAACCTATCCTAACCTAACCTAACCTAACCTAACCTAACCTAACCTAACCTAACCTAACCTTACCTAACCTAACCTAACCTCCCGAGGGATGCCTTACGTTACGCCACTCAAGCTTGTGGGGCAGGATGTGTCAGGTCTTATAGTAACAATGGAAAAACTTCGTAAATTAAAAAAATTGAATTTGAAGTAATACGACTCACTTTCACGTGGACGGTCTAATCGGAGGATACAAGTTTGCAGCTGCCTTCAAAAATTCATATAAACGCACAGTGTGATCAGGGAAACTTCTCTCAAACATAAATTCTGCTAGATACCCTACGAAATGGGCATCTTTACGTCCGTACCTAGGAATACGAGCACGGACCTCACGCCGGGCGCGTTCGATGTGTTGCGTGTGAGCGCCGGTTTTGGGGTCTACGAAGCTGTAGGTGTGGTTAACAGTGAAATGGGTGTATCTTTCGCGTCCCATACATTCGTATGATTTCTAACAATCGGATAAAATACAGGTACCGGGCTTGATTCTTCTTTGAATAATTTCTAAGAGAAGAGAGTCTCTTTCACTCGACGCTCTACTGGCTCGAGGAAAATTACTTTTGGATCGCTCCGTAAAGTACCACCAAAAACCCGCTGTCCCTTCACTCTCCTCCCGCGGTTGTACTTTCGCTTACCAAACTTGGCCTCATTGATCTCAACGTCTTCCCTGGGGCCTCCAATCAAATCTTTTGAACTATTTCGTTCACACCAATCTAATGAAACTTTTCTATTGAAACTGGCCCAATCTACAGCTGTTCTTTTGCCAGCTTTTGTTTCTTTGCGAATAAAATTTTGCCGCGGAGGATCGCGAGTCAGCCAGTGCCAGGCGGCAATTAAAACTTGGTTAATAGTCTAATTACTGTTTTCAAAGTACGTATTCTTAAATATACTAGCTTTGTAATTACAACACTTTTTTTTCTTCTTAACAGTCATCTTCTTTTTGCACCGGAATACAAGTTTTTCCCATGCCGATTCACACTTAAGAGGCTTTCACACCTACCACACTTTGAATAGCGGGAAATGACACCGTGTCTCTCTAAAAATTTCATAAGTCGACTACGATTCGTAACTGTTCTATAAAACTCTTCCGTCGTTAACGAAAAACTCTCGCACGTACCAAACTCATCACCATCCATGATAGTGCTGACCGTAAATACAAAAGGATAATAAGTGTAAATCCTAGTCCTTTGAACAACTTCCGATTCCGTCTCCGTTTCCAGTGACAAGGGAACGCGTCTCTTGTTTCGGGAAAAAATAGCAGGGTTGGTCATACTGCGTGGCTCCGTCAACAATAATGGCGGACGCGGACGAAATACGTTATGATATAGGGAATTCATGTAACTGTTATCGCTTCTCAAATTATAGTTTAAAATTGATTGCGCTCGGTGATTTTGCACTTTTTGTGTTCTCTAGGATGCACACTAGGTACAAGTTTCTGAAGGAAATATCGTGAAAGAGCGTGGCCCCCTAAAGTAAACAATAATCTTTTCTCCTATTGTTGTTGTTAAGAGGTTACGTACTCCCCCCCTTCTCTCCTGTTTTTAATTTTTTTTTTATACAAACCTACTAATTTTGTGACCGATTATATAGGCTTGGCGGAATTATTACCCTTTTTTGGGGTTTTTTGTGGTATTGTATTGATAGGAGAGGCTACTTTTTTATTTTTTTTTTTTAGTACGTATAACACTTTGCCTAAATGTAGGATATCTTTTCCAGAAGAGTACCTATGAGTGTTCCGGAAAATCTGTGCATGATGGAAAAAAGCTAAATCCGTGTTCGGATTCAGCAGCCAAAATCCCACGGGGAATTTAGTATTGCATGCCTATTAAGGTTTCTTTGCACCGCCCGACGCGGGATGGAGGGCAGAACCTCCGCTCCAAACGCGGCTCCGATCGGCCGTCGGAGGATACTTTTGGTGAATTTTATTGCAATCGCGGTCAATTTTAGTGAACGTGGCTGGGAACATTTTAATTTATTTTGGGGAGTAATTGCAAGCGTACAGTGTAATAGCGACTGCTGAAACTTAAGGTTGCAGGACTCGGCATTTAATTTCAATTTTTTTTTTTTTTTGTTTGTTTGTTTTGGCAATGCGACGCTAGAACATACAAACGATGAAAAAAATTAAAATTCAAGAATATTGGTCATGTTCCGCGATTGAGCAATTCAAATCTTCCTCCTCTTCTCTTCTTATGAATGAAATTATTGAACTGCCGCAGTAACCCTCAAGTCCCCGGCCGCTACGCTTCCCACACCAGAGTTTAAAAATGAAAAGTAAATTTTTTTTTTTACTTTTCATTTTTAAACGATGCACGGCTGCCTAATTCAGGTTTCCCGACGGACTGAGCTCAAAACAATCCCGCCGGTGAGCGAGATCTTGCGACACCACGCGTTCGAGCCGTGCGCAGTCATATGAGTGTAGCATAACCATGGCAACAGCGATCCGGCCCTCCGTCTCCAAAATCCGCGTGACCCACTGAGAAACTGGGTTGGCACTGGTATAGGGTGTGCCTTATTTTTGAGTTTTGCGAAAATCAAGTTGGTCAACCCCTAAAAAGTTTCTATGTAGTCTCTAAATGAACCCCCTAAAAGGAAAAAACTTTAAAAAAATTTTAACCCGTGCCTCAAAGGGCCTAAAGGGTCTAAACCCAAAATTCAAAAATTTTGGCAAGCGACACATCAATTCTGAAGGAAAATGGCAAGTTACGGCCCTCTTAGGGCAGAAATTTNACACTGGTACCCTCGGGGGGCTCCCGCGGCTCCCCCGTTGCGGACCTCCGGGGGGGCATTTGCACTGCCCATCGCGGGACGAAGGGCAGAACCTCCGGTCCAAACGCGGCTCCGATCGGCCCGACAGGAAGAGAGCCAGGCCGATTTTTCCGAAAACCGTCGTAGGGCACCAGCGCACCCCGGGTGGAGGGATCGCTTAATCCAACCTGACCGAACGTCGCCGACCCGAAGCCGACCCGCAGACGGAACCGGGAACCCGGGGGGCCGATCGGGAAGGTAAAAAGTGGGGCACTCCGTGCGGGGGTCGTAAAAAAACGGCTATCGGGGCGCAGCGCCCCTCCGGAGCGGTCGGAGTCGGTAATTCTCGGAACTTAAGCTCCGGCCGCCCGGGGGCACCCGCGTGCCGAATCTCGAGCTGAAAGGACGAACGGGGCGGGAACGGCCGCGGTTTTCCCGAAAAAACCCTTAGGGGGTGCAGCAACCCCCCGGAGGGTCGGACCGGAAAACCCGGCGGGGGGACCGGAGACCCGGCCGCAGGGGTCCCGCCGGTGGATTCTCAGGGGCGTGGGACACGGGGATCTTTGGAACGGGGCCTAGAATCTCAAGGTCACGGCGGACCGTCTACAGTTTTACGTATTAGGGCACCAGCGCCCCCCAGATGGAGGGATCGCGAAATCCGACCGTATCGAACGGAGCCGACCCGCAGACGGAACCGGGAGCCCGGAGGACGAACGGGAAAGTACGAAGTGGGGCACTTCACGCGGGGGGTGAGAAAATGGCCTCTCGGGGCGCAGCGTCCCTCCGGGGAGGCCGGAGTCAGAGATTCTTTGGACTTAAGCTCCGGCCACCCGAGTGCATCCCGCGTGCCGAATCCCGAGCCGGAGAGACGAACGTGGCGCGAGCGGTGGTGGTTTTCCCGAAAAAACTCTTACACTGAAATAAATATTCGGCGGGATTTACCAGAGTTAGAGTGTAATTTACCATACTGTCTACTTGATTTTTTACACAGTGAAGCTGCACCGTAGTTACCAATATACCGGTATTGTAAATAATACGATACGGCTGACACTGTGCGACACAGTGCTAGTGTGGTGTTCCCGACTGACTAGTATGGTAATTTCACGCATCCAGATGCTGCGACAAACCATAGATTCTAACATCCACTCATCATATATTATTAAATGCTTTTGATGAAAGTCGTGGATATTTTACTTACATTTTACGAAGAAATTCCGTTACATACACAATCAATGGCAGTTAAAGACAGTTTCAACGAGAAATAGCAGATAATTGCTTTATTGATTTCAAGTAAATGATACCAAAACCATACTTGTTGTTCCCGTTAAGGTATCAGTTACAGACTAAATCAGATCCACAGAAAATTTAATTGCATATAATAATTAGATAGTCAAAATATACCCACAAAAAGACAGTACATGAAAATCCAATCGCACAGTTCACGGTGGGGCAGAAACTGCCAAATTTTAACTAAAGTTACAGTTAAACATCAATCCCACGCACATTTGACTCTTCATCTGAGTATGTTGAGCTTCGAAAATTTTAACAGGAATAGATATACCTACGAACGAAGTACTCAAAAATCACTTCTAGTCAATTATTTTCAAATTCCTTCCGCACCTTTATGTTTTCGAAATGACTTTACACAGAACCGATATTCATTGGATAGCAGAACAACTTTGCGAAGGTTTTCACGTTTTCAGGATTCCTTCATTTTGCAAACCAGATTCATTGCAGCAACTCCTAACCTCCAGAAATTGGTCGATACGAATAACGAAGAAATCTCAGAAAATGTATGTGGGAGGTCAATATAGATAGATTCGAAGAGAAGACGGTAGCTTTAAAGACAATTCGAACACAAATTTGGGCAAATTACTCGTGAATTCATATGGATTAATATGAATCAATAACACGCAGCCACAGACTCCGGCCCTCAACGTGATGTACTTATAACTGACAAACAGACAAACGAAAAATGGCGGACCGCAGACCGCAGCGCAGTCAAGCGGGAGCTCTCACCACGCTGACTATACCAGTATGGTAAATTCAATCTACCAACAACATTACAAGTCACATACAGATGCCTATACAGATATCAAACGCAAGTGTCACCATGTTATCTCATACTTTTAACTCATCGTATGGTAAAAAATACCCAGCTAATGGTGAGAAATACCCATAGAGTACATAGAGTCGTAATGTAATTGGGGGAGCTGGCGCCACTTTTAAGCATTTTCCATGTCCCGAATTCCGAGACTCCTGTGTGACGCCGGGTCACTTTTTCGATACATAATCGATAGTTTGCGATACACGGGTACCCGGCCATCCGATGACAACAACAACAACAACAACAACAACAACAGCAAAGGAGATAGGAATTACCACGTATTCCACACCGCCATTTTGGATCGAAAATGTATCGAAAAAGCGACCCGAACTCTGCGCACACCGGGCTCGGAATTCGTCGAGCAGAACATGGCGCCAGCTCTTTCATTTACATTACGACTCTATGTACTCTATGGAAATACCTAAACGATGTACAGACACACCTAACTGATATTTACAATCCGGGTATGATAATTTTTATATCGTGTATGACTCTCACTTTCATCTAGATGCTTAAATCGACCATTATTTGGCTTTTCATCATTATATTTTTTTTTACTATAACATTATGGTCAATCCTACTTCCACTTTTTTTTTCAGTGTAGGGGCTGCAGCAACCCCCCGGAGAGTCGGACCGGAAAACCCGGCGGGGGGACCGGAGACCCGGCCGCAGGGGTCCCGCCGATCGATTCTCAAGGGCGTGGGACACAGGGGGGCCGCGGGACGGGGCCGAGAAGTTCAAGGTCACGGCAAACCGCGTAAAATTTTCTTTATTAGATTTATCGTCGCCATGTTACCCTTTTTTAGCGTTTTCTAGATTTTTCAGTTGTTTCACCGATATAACAATGAAGGGCAGAAAAACTTTATTAAGGTGTCCAATAAAACTTTTTCCTCTCAATTTTTCCTATAAAGCCAAATATGACCGCAGATTTTTACTAGAAATTACGGCGCATTTTCCGGAAAATAGACTTTTCTAAAAGAAGTGTTTTTCCATGTAAAATCCCATGTATAAAAGATGGCTCTGTCGGCACGGGTTAATATTATCCTATTTGGCTGATACTTGGCAGAGAGAGTTTTTTGATCAAATGGTTCAGTTCTAGGGAGTAAGACAAAAAAAATTGGCAAAATAAATTTTACCGTGTATAATTGGGCCACCCTAATGGCCCAGTTACCTGACCTCCCCTTATCTATGAAAGGTATTTTCTTTGATTACAGCGACAGAATTCCGGTTGCTGATCAATATGAACAAAAACCTCAATAGCGATGGCAGTGATAGTCCTGAGTCACAGGTGACAGGGTGCGGGCTTCCAGATTTCACTCACACACCTCAAAAAAATGATAAAACGCGGTCCGTCATTTTAAGAGCTCCAACGCTTGAGCTGAAAGCCGTCTGGCAGAATTTGATTCAACGCCAAATGTAAGTACCGTCAACTCGAGATTAAAAGTGCATTACATTATCAACGATGGACAAACTTATTTACTTCAACTATAAAATCGCAAGATTCGAATTGCATATGAACCTAAACCCACATAAGGTTACATTAGACGATCGATCAATTATTGATAATACATGTGGACTGTATAGACCTTTTTTGTAGTGTCCTCGAAAAACATATTACACCAAGTCCGCCCTGTATACATACGATGAGGATCATAAGTCTTGGAAAAAATGTTACCCTTCCTCTTAAGCCTAAAATAAGCAGATATAAGTTTCATTGGGTAAAGGGACGGACGCGGTCCTTTACCCAAACGATTTCCACGCCATGAAGGATGGGAAATAATTTTAGGTACGTCATGGGCGTATACGCACAGGGTGAGCGTAAAATTTCCGACGCCCCTCTAACTTTCAAACGCATGCAAATATCAAAACGAAATTTTTGGGATGCTTACAGGTCAATAAGAGCTACTTTTTGACACATCCGGAAGAGGCTGTCCCATTTTCCATAGGAAATGACCGCAAGAGATTTTACATCCATACTTTCAGAAATCATAACGGATCATCGGAGAGGCCTTAATCCGGTGACCTTTCTTGTCTAGCCCGGCGAGGGGGGAGGGGGTCAAAGATCAAACGCGCAGACCGCCATATCTTTTGAACGAAACAACGGATTATCTTGATCTTGGGCTCAAATGAAAGCTTTCAACGAGAACTTTCAGTTGATGTATATTGATGACAGTTTCAGGTCAGTTTTCAATTTGAAATAATCATTGTTTGATTTTTCAAACCCAAAAAATTCATTTTTTCTGATTTTTCTATGAAAGGGAACGCAGAAATCATTATAAAAACCAATTTATATATTTAATATCCTAAGGCTTTTTTTGTCCTCCTTCGGTTTGGACCGTTTGAGCTAATTTGATCTCGGAAACTACTGGACCAAATTTTCCTCGGATTTATTTTAAATGAAAGCTCTTAGGTTCTAGATGTGCCAGCACCCCTCGATTTTTCAATTTGTGCGACCGATGTTGCAAAATTTACCTCGATTTGATAATCACATATTTGCATTTTTGCTCCTAGACAGTTTGTGCCAATTCGATCTCGGAAACTACTGGACCGATTTACCTTGGATTTGTTTTAAATGACAGCTCTTAGGCTCTAGATGTGCCAGCTCTCCTTGGTTTTTCGATTTGCGCGACCGATGTTTCAAAATTTACCACGATTTGATAACGACATATTTGTATTTTTGCCGCTGAACGAGTCATATGGTTGGGGGACCTCCCATCCTCTGATTTTCCGTTTCCCTCTCCACGTAAACCCATCCCTACCTGCTCACAACACGTGTCACCCTTCTACTCTGGCATGGGTCCCATGTCAGTATCACTCCCTTCCTTATGCTGTCTGACTCTGAATACCTGCTACGCATTTCCTCATGCTCATAATTAGTTCTCGGTTTTCCAGGTTTCCTTTTAGTGCGTCTAGAGTTTTGCTTTCTTGATTTTGTCTTTAGTTTTTTTTTTTTTTTTTTTTTTTTTTTTTTTTTTTTTTTTTTTTTAATTAAAATTCCTTAATATTGATGTGTATTTTTCAGGTGATAATTTTCCTTTTTACGGCAGCACAGGTTTTATTAATAATGAACTTTTTTATAGCAGCTCATGTGTTATTCCAAGATAATCGGTGATTTATCTTCACCCTTTCACACCATTACATTTTCACAGAGTGTTTTAATTTTCTTTTCCAGGAGAGTTTTTTATTTTTCAATGGTGTTTCTTTTTCTACGAGTAGGTGATTTTTAGTTTCTTATTCTTTGTTTTCGAATGTATCATTTTGCCTCCAGGAAGTTCTCTGTGCACCGGTGGTAGCAAAATTTGGCTCGCTTCGCGAGCCAACAGTGACTGTAGGCCCATGGTGCGAGGCCCCCGGCTAGCGGCGCAAGCGAGCGTAGCGAGCTGAAGCAGCTAGTTTAAATGAAAGCCCTTAATTCAAGCTTTAAAACGAGCTATACTCGTAGTTCAACTTGGGTAGAGTCCCTTTATACCCAGAGTTAAGACAACTCGATTATCAGCTGACTGGCAGCCGGCCTTGGCTGGCCATGGAGGCACAAACGAGTGCACCCAAACGAACGATATTAAGGGATAAGGATAAGGAATCCTGCGATGTCTGTCATCCGAAAACAACAACATCAACACAATTTATCAATTAAAAAGAAAATGAGATTAGTTTGTGAATAATTTCTTAATCAATTTTCATTTTGGACCGATGGAAATAACAATTTACTCTTGATAAACCACATTTAGGTAATATTTTCATTATTTTTGTTCATATCGAGCCACCGCCATCTTGATGCACTCGTTTGTGACTTCATGAGCGAGAACCAATCAGAATTGGATTTTTTTTAGGCCACTTTCAGCCCAACCAAAAGTGAGTTGTCGTAACTCTGGGTATAAAGGGACTCTGAACTTGGGGAAACAAATGGTCCAAAAGTTATTACCGTTCAAAGTTGGCGTGGCGCGCTATTTTCGAAGCGCGCGGAGTGTATACTCGCGTGCCACCCCTCCCTACCTTTACCCCTGGTGTCTGCTTTAGCTGATGGCGGATTCAGGAAGGTCTAAAGCTCCTTCCACCTACAGAATGATCAATCGTTAGTGCAAAATTACTTTTATTTCTAACGAAAAAAGGGAAATAAAAATAAATTAAATGCTAATAAACGATAGGACGCTGGCATATATTATTTTTCGCTCCCCCCCTCCATGATTTAATATTTAATAGCCAAATCAAGCCTCTTTTACCGCAAAATACATTTAAAAGCTGTAGATAATATTCATAGGCTCTTGTACGGAACTAGCTGACCAGCACTTGAAATTCGCATTTACTACCGATTATCTCTCCCTCACCTCTCTCTGATCTATTCCCCTCTCATCAAGATTTACCTACACGGGAGTAATCAGATAGGTACCGCAATGACGAGAGACTTGATTTGGCTATTAAATATAAAATCATGAAGGGGGGGGCGAAAAAATAGTGTATGCTATCGTATATATCGTTTATTAGCATTTAATTTATTTTGATTTCTCTTTCTTCTCTAGATATTAAAGTAATTTTTAACTAGCGATTGATCATTCTTTAGGTGGAAGGAGCTTTAGACCTTCTCGTGTCCGTCATCAGCTAAAGCGGGCACCAGGGATGGAGGTAGGGAGGGGTGGCACGCGAGTATACACTCCGCGCGCTTCGAAAATAGCGCGCCACGCCAACTTTGAACGGTCATGACTTTTGGACCATTTGTTTTCCCAAGCTGAACTACGAGTATAGCTTGTTATAAAGCTTGAATCAAGGGTTTTCATTTAAATTGGTTTTTGTAATAATTTCTGCGTTCCCTTTCATAGAAAAATCAGATAAAATGAATTTTTTGGGTTTGAAAAATCAAACAATGATATTTTTCACATTAAAAAATTACCTGAAACTGACTTTAATACACATCAACTGAAAGTTCTCGTTGAGAGCTTTCATTTGAGCCTAAGATCAAGATAATTCGTTGTTTTGTTCAAAAGTTATGGCGGTCTGTGCGTTGGACCTTTGACCCCCTCCCCCCTCGCCCTTTGGAAGGCTAGACAGGAAAGATCACCGGATTTAGGCTTCTCTGATGATCCGTTATGATTCCTGAAAGTATGGATGTAAAATCTCTTGCGGCCATTTCCTATTGAAAATGGGACAGCCTCTTCGGGAAGGTGTCGTACACTTGCGGGAGACGTACACTCAAATAAAATTTTCAAATCGCAAACCCCCCTCTGTAATACTTACATTGTTGAAAAGGAAATAAATAAGAGAACATTTTTGGCACAAGCGGACCGTCGATTTCGTTAAATCACAGTGGACGAGACATAGACAGTTCTGAGGAGGACAGAGAGGAGGAAGACTATCCCCCAAGTGGCCTAGTTTATCTATAAGAGGGTAGGTACTTACTTGCTTCCGCTTCGAGAGAACTGGACCGCCCTTCCCGCAAGAAATACAAGTTATCCCAGGAGGGGGCCTAAAGTCGCGCTGGGCGTAAACGATAAAGGTATTGTCGACTTTATCCTGGAAGTACCTTCAATGTCGAGAAGCTTGACCGAAATGAAAAACATGTTTACTGCCGTGGTATACTTTATTTTGAAAACAGTGAGACTTTAGACATTCACAGTGAGTAAAGGACTGAATATCAGACTACCCTAATGTGCTGAATGTTTTATGGACTTATTTTCAACAAATGTATCAACGTGTGAAACACCTGTGGCAATGGTTTGTAACAACCTTACACCAACACAAAATGGGATGCTGGGGTATGCATGAATTGACGTATAATTATTACCGCGGGAGGAGGAAGGTCAGGAGGTGAATAACACGTCAGAAAAAAAGGGGCGATACCTAGGGGTCCAAAAGTCGAGAAAAATGGGTGACGTAATTTATGAACAGCCCCAAAGGGAGGGTTATCCTTTGAAAATTTTGTGTTAACGTGCAACCCCCCCCCCCCCCCNCACGGAATTTCGGATCTGCCAGAGAGTAGCTCTCATTGACCTTGAAGCTTCTCTAAAATTTCCTCTTGATACACTCATGGATTCAAAAACTGAAAGATGGGGGAGGGGCGAGTCGGATACTTTCCGCTCATCCTGTGTGTATTTTTGGCTACTGAATTCAAAAAGGACCTTGGCTTGTTCCTCTGACGCATCTATTTTCCATCTGGTCCTCTGAAAAATTGCTTCTTGAGGAATTACTGTAATTATCCGCAAAAGTCTTCCTTGATATTTATAGCTACCGTACTCAGCGCTAAAATCTACCAGGGATCACAATCTGAGGTCCCTTTTCTTTCCAAAACCAAATGGTTTCTACACCTATGTAACAATCTCCACATTAGCCTGCTCTTTTTAAATTTTCGATTTATGCCCCGGGCTTTATACAACCAGGACACGGCCCTCTAATGGTGCGAGGTGCCAAAACTTTTTGTAGAGGGACCATCTGATCCATAAATGAAAGTTCAAAGTGACCTGTTTAAGTATTCATGCGAGATAATCACTAGCTACACCAATAACTCATCAATTTTTTTTATTTTTATTTTTATTTTATTTTATTTTTTTTTGCACAATTGCAGAATTTATCTGAACACAACAGCTCGAGGAGGAACTCCGGCAGGAAGCCCGGTAGACAGCCCCAATTCCCCGTCCGAACAGGTACATCCTCCTGGCTCTTGAGAATTATCGCCACGTCACAAGCCCTGCTGTAGCCCGACTAGAATTTAGGATCCAATTATCCCGCTGCTGTCATTATACAAACTTGCCGTCCGCGATTTCCTCGCAGCATTTCGATCGCTAAAGGGCGGAACCACTTATCGATGGTGAAAGTGCAGAAGTGTGCATCTCGGAAAAACACGATTTTCCAGGAGAGTAAGAACACCGTTTACATTCCTCCTTATTTTCAGTAAAGGATTATTATCCTTCCTATTCTAGAGGACAGCAAAAATGAGATGCTTTTTCAGACTCCATCAGCATTTTATATAACTTCTCGAACTGTTATAAAATACGGCAGAAATACCGAGATTCGCATTTTTGGCACTACGAATTGACACTTAATCCCGAGATACGCATTTTTGAAATTAGTGTTTTAAACCTGTTAGAGACGGATTTGGATAATTTAAAGACTGAAATAAGAGTTTCACGCTTGCAATACCTTATCCAGAAGCTTTTGTTGATCCAATACGGCCGGATCAAGCATTGTATGATTGGAAAATGATTTTGATCACGGGGCACGCATACCCGCAATTAGCGTTTTGAACCTGCTCTTGATCATTAAGATAAAAAATATAGTTTATTCAAACTCAAGTTTGTTCAGAGGCTTTAGTTGATCCAATACGGTAGCATCGTATGACTCGACTGACTCTAATACCTAAAACTGACCTCGTGTGATGAACTGTCAGTTTCCTAGTAGCAGAACCGTAGAAGGGAAAGATAAAGATTATGTACTAAATTTAATTTTTCATATATAACGCATGCATACGAAAGTGTTAAAAGTGAACATTTTTATGTAACCATTATATATAAAAGTCATAATTTTCGTGAGCTTTTCGTAAACGTACTAAAAAATCTTCTAATTCGCGAAAAGCTCACGAAAATTATGACCTTTTGTTTATATGATAGATACATATAAATGTTCACTTTTAACACTTTCGTATGCATGCGTTATATAAAAAAATAAAAAAATGTGTAAAAAAAAATTATCTTATCTAGCTTTTATAATTTTTTATATATTACGGCCAGGTCTGAACTTTGATTTTTTTATATACGCGTTGCACGTTTTTTATATAAAACTACCATTTAGATAACAGATATGTTTTTTTATACCTTTTTTAGAGAAACAAAAATTTTTTCTGCTACTAGGGTTCATGATTGCAGTGAATAATGGACATGAACGCCGCGCACCGCTAGTAATAGGCACATATGAAGAAATGATCCCACAAGAGCTTCGATTGATAAGCATCTAGCAACTTTTCAAAACCAGCGAATTCTTGAAAAAAAATAAAAACCCAGAGCAGCTAATCAGCTGATGTATGCTGTTGGCAGGAAACGCTGAGGAGAGCGCGTTATGCGCGTCAGGCGCGCCGGATCAAATGAAGGGGCAAGAACGAGATACGCATTTCTACACTTAAGCCCGAGATACGCGAAAAAAGTTCTATGGTTTCAAGTGACTACGCTTTTCTGCACTTTCACTAGCGAAATATCCATCGCAGTGATTCAAAATTTCCGCTCATTGTTTTATTTTATCGCCGAGAGACGAGGCAATTTTGTAGCTTGAAATGTACACAATATATTGTGCTTACTGAAATGAAAAACCTAAAAGGTTTTCAAGAAATCAGGGTGACTAGCTCCCACAGAAAAAATAAGAAATACCAGGAAGTCAGCAAAGTCGCAAACGAAGATACGTGGTTCGGCACTGCTTCGGCCATCGAGTTTCCTTCGCCCCGCGATCAGTTCTGTTCTAAGAAACTGGCAAGATTCAACCAGAATCAGTCTAGTTGCATCAGACATTGCATATTTTCCTTGAATGCTTTATTTTATCGACAGAACAGTAACTTTAAAAAGTTTGTGAGTATATATGCTTTCTAAGACAGAGAAAATGCATTAAATAGAGGTCACTATGTATCTTTTAAAAAAATCGTTCAGGTCAAAACTCATGGGAAGTTATTTAAGAGGAGGTAGACAAAACACTTGTTGCATGGTTTTTTCTGACTTCTCATGGTCTCATTATCTCATGGTCATTTAGTTAACGCTGTGCTCAGAATGAATAGGTATTATTCTATGAATTATCTACTATCACTTATTTTAAGACAATTTTTTTGTTTGCATGCTGTTGTGATTCAATAAATTTAAATTTTCATTAAAAAAGAATTAATGCATTTTTTATGATTTGTTTAATTTAAAACCTAATTTTCTTAGCTTGAGATACAGTGACCCGGTACCTAAGACATAGTACCCCGGTGCTGGGGTACTAAATCTCAAAATTTCGATACTTAAATTATTTTTTAAAAATTCTCGGATGATGATGAATCAATAAAACTTTCAGTAAGATAAGAGTCACATTTAAACCGTGCATTATATTTAATATAGTTAAATTTATAGGTACATGCGCTCGAGCCCTTTCGGGACTATCCATCTTCAAGAGCACTACTAAAACTACACACTACAACAAGCACACAATTACAATGATAAATAATACATTGAGCACACAAAAGTACATTAACAAACTACAACATGCAAACCAATAACCACAAGTAAATATAAAAGATAAGTGACGAGGTACATAACAAAATAAATCAGGAGTATTCTAAGACGAAGGCCGACAGAGAAATGAAAACAAATGCTACTGATAATCAGAGTTAGACCAAGTAAAACTTTCAGAGATTTCAAGCCACAACCAGGAGTAAGAAATTTCCTCAAAACAAACTTCCTAAACTTTCAAGAAAAAAATTTAAGAGTTCCGGAAAAATCAGTCATGGAAGTCAGGTCTCTAGCGGAAAAAGGCTGAGGTCTGGCGGAATTTCGGTTTTTCCTGTGCAAATGGAGAGTAAGTACAATTGAAGCACTACACATATTTCACTTGATACAATTTTTGAAACAAAAATTCTGGTGTTGCCGTATCTATCTCTATATTAGACCTAGAGAAAAGTAATTCAACACTGTAAGGCTGAAAAATGTCACTCGAAGACTGTGGAATCAAAGCTTGGCGCCCGAGTACCGGTCGGCGCTTGAGGAGTTGTAACTTCATTCGCCCATGACTGTCGAACCGTTTGGTTTGCTAGCTTAGTGGACGACTTGCTGAATGCGGGGAAAAAACGAACTAGTTAAATATACCTAATTGATTTTGATCCAGATAAAAAAGGAAGATATTTGTTAATTCTTTGTTTAAAACAATGTTTTTGTACTGAAAAATTGAACAAATGCGCATTAGCTAACCTAACCACCGTGTCATACATTAAAAGGTATTTATTTATATATATATAGTTTATACAGGGTTATTCAAAAGTTACGCACCACTGGCCATAACTTTAGTTCTAATTATGATATCGATTTGCGGTTTGTGGCGTCCTTCCTCATGTCGAGGGGGAAACTTTTTGAGGTACTTTTCAGTTCTTCACCCCCCCAGGGGGAGGGGGGGCGGGGGGCAANTTCCAGCAATACATTTTCGCAATTTCTGCATACGTTTCGGCACTAACATGGAGACCTACTTCTTCTTATATAAATACATATAAGTCAATTTATGGCACTCCCTAGTGCTCTACGACACCTAACCTCCACTGTCCCCTATAGAACCACAACCCTTCGAGCACTGAGCACTTGAACATTTCTGCTTCAATCCCATCCCTCTAACATCTCATCGGGCGTCCTCTCCGCCTCTCCCCACGAAGAACTCAATCAAAGACCTGCTTTGGCAACCTGTCTCCTGTAATTCTCTGAACCTGAATATACCCAATGAGTTGTCCGTGATAATGGCAGCCACGAAGGTCTGTTTGGCCGTACCGTTTAATTCCTGACGCGATCTTTTCTGGAAATACGAGCGAATCTACGTCAGAGGTCAATCTCTGTTGTCTCTAAAACCTCCCGGGTCCGCTATTTTATCGGCCTTACTTCACACCCGCAGGTTACTTGCCCTTGAAAATCGCATTACAGATCCTTCTTTTGTTCTCTTTGGAGATTCTTTGGTCCCAAAGGACTCCACTTAACATGGCGATTGCTCTCCTACCCTGTATATTTCGGTTTTTGATGGCCTGGTCCAATCTTCCATCCTGAGTCAGAAAAACTTCTAGATGTTTGAAAATATTGCAGCCCTCACCTTGCTGCCTACCGTCTAATTCTACAGGGTGTCCCAAAAGTTCGTAGGTTGATTCGTAGGTGTCTGCTGATTTTTGGGGTTTTTTCGTAGGATGAATCATTGAGGAGATATTTGCAAAATTTGATCGTGGATTTCCTCAATTTTGAACAATTCGAGGAGGCGGTGCTCTGAGCACCGGCAAATTTTCCTGAATTTAATATAGGCAGTTCTGGACCTTTGTAGCAACTAAAAATAAAAATAAAAAATAGGTTTGATTCATGGGACAGATCCTGTGTTGTGCGTTGATAATCAGGATAAATCTGAGTAGATTGGGATACCTACATCTCGGTTCATCGGGACAAACCGTGCCGGATTGGGATGAAAGGGGATAAGTCGGGATGATCAGGATAAAACGAGATTAATAGGGATACAACGGTAAACATCGATATTTTTCGAGATTAAATGGGGACGATTTGAGATGAAACGTGAATAATCAGGATGTTTCTAGATAATCCGGGGTAAATCGGGGTACTGTGAGGGTGTGTGTGAGGGTGTGAGGGAGAGTGTGCGTGTGTGGGGAGGGGGTATGTATCGCTGCATATCGGGTTAAAACGTGACGGATTAGGATAAAGGGCAATATATATATATTCATATATATATATATATCGAGGTAAAAGCTAGACGAAGTAACACGAATCACAATCACATTAAGTCAAGTTTAATAGATCTATGTGAGTTAAATCTTGCGTAGTTAAAGCGGTGCGTAGCAAGACAATTTTTCGCGCGAAGGGTGTCAGTGCTGTGATTTGATTTTTCATTTCACGGCACTAGAGTCCGTACAGCTTACTCAAGTTCTTGAGCTTATATG